TTCTTGGTATTCTTTTTTTAATTCTGAAATCTCGCAGACATTGCTGGGGTGCTGAATGACTTTGGAGATGTATGTCTTGTGCTTGCCACGCACTCACGGGCGATGCGCTCAGCGAGGTAGCAGAAACCGCCGTACATCCAGTACTGCCAGAAGACGCCGATCGCGCTCGGGCCGATATTGATGCAGAAGGGCGCAAAATCAGGCTGGATCATGCAGAATGCGCCGTGAATGGACCAGAAAAAGAAGAAAACGATGAACATGTGATGGGTGTACCAGAATCTCTCGTAGTTGGCGCGTCGGGGCTTCTCCATTGACGTAATAACCATGCCCATGAGGGCGATGAGCATAACGTAACCAGTCCAACCGGGACCTGATACGAAGTTGGCCAGCAGCCAGCCGTAGACACCAAGGTTGTTCTTGGCGGCGATCATGCCAAAGTTGACCCAGTGGGCAATCGTATGAACCCATGAGAAAAAGACAATGGACCAGGCAATCGTCTTGTGGAAGGTGATGTTCTTATCGAACTGGATGATGCCGTTGAGAGGCGTTTGGCGAGCGAGCGAGATGAATGTGCGACAGACAGGAAAGAGTACGAGGGCAACATCGACGTGCAGGACGAGAGCCGCGGCACGGGCGATGACAAAAGTTGGGCCGAATATGTCTCGTGCGACCTGCAGATTGTCCTTGAGGGCAAAGTTGACGCAGGCAAGCGCAAAGACGAGTCCGTGGAGGATCATGAAGACGAAGACAAAACTTGGGCAAGTGTTAGTTGATGGTTTTTGGATATCAAGGCTCCAGCACATCGCATGGATCAAGTGCGCATTCAGACAGTACTCACAATCTTCGGTAACCCTCGTTGATCATCCAGCGATCGAATTTCTCCCTCGATGTCAGCTGCTTCTGCTTTTCTTGCGTCATCTCACCCGAGAGAAGCATGCGTGTCAGTGGCGTCCATCTTGAGCGCTCAGAGGGCTTCTCTGAGCCCATCGAGTAGTAGTCCATCGCGCTGGTGGTGCTATAATCGTCTGCGTGCTGCCGAGTCGGGATATAGCTGGTATGACCGCACTTCAAGGACAATATCGCTCAGACCGGATGTCCCGTTGTGTGCAGTTCCCCCCGTTAGCTCTCGTTCCCCTGTCTCTTGCTTCTATTATTGTGAGGTTCTGGCCGTATGTGCCCGTTTGCGAGCCGGTCGGTGTCGTTGGTCAATTGGTGTTTAGACAAGCGAGAGTGCAGGCGGCGCCATATATCCAGGTGGGTGATGTAATAGTCGATTCAGAGCCGGCTGAATAGTCGTAAAAGAGATATACAATGAAGGTGATTGAATCGAATTGGACGTAGCCCGTGCTTGCGCCTTAATTGCCGCCGCGAACGACGAGAGATCGGAGGGGGCTGTAAAAGAGGGCAAGCCGTAGGTCAGCAAGAGGAGATAAGAGGGCAAGAAGACACGGAAGGGCATGGACAATGAATACTGGTAAAGATGGCGAGGCAATAGGCCCGCAGAGGGCGTGTTTCGGATGGAGATCATACCTTTGCACAATGCCTGCACCAGGCGGCTGACAAAACAAGGGGATTTACGACCGAGGCTCGTGGGTATTAAAGAGTCCCGCGGGAGGGAGAATCTCTCGTCGATTGCCTAAAACGGAGAGCAAGAGAAAGAAAACGTAAAAGCGAGCAACAGAAGCGGTCGCGAAGATCCAGCGGGAGGGGGCAGGATGAAGAAGGAGGGAGATTATGGGTCCTTCATGTTACAGCGACGACAAGCGATTATGGTACGACCAGCAGACCATCGCGCGCCCAGAATCTGGCCCTGACAAGGTATTGTCCCGGCGTGGATACCTGGCACAGACGACACAGATGAAAACAGGTAAGGGTCAGGGGTGTGGTGGAGAGAGTGCGAGGGGCGAAGGCAGACTTCAAAGAAGAGGAACAGTTGCCGGAGAAGCCTTGAGAGAGGAAGACTGGACGGTGTTGCAGACCTGGTACCCAGCGAAGTGGTGGCTGGCTGCCTCGACGTCAGTTGCTTGTTCCCAGCACTCGCCCTCACAGTTGTGTGACGCCGCGACAACTGCAGCATTGGTGGATGGGGACAGCCATGGCGTCGAGGTCGAAACAAGATTAGTCCTAAAGAGGCCTGGTGTACCCGCGCATGCAGCTCGGGGGGCTTCCTCAGGGGCCTCAGCGGTGGAGCGTGCTGCGAAGGGGGGCTTTTTTTCTCGCTGGTTGCTCGTACCTCATAGAGTCAGCATTGGTGGCCAAGCAATCGCCATTTGTGTTGCCCGGAAACTTGCATGAGCAGGACCCCCCGACCGATAAATTCAGGTGGCTGTTGCCAAAGATAGTCAGCTTCTTGATGCACTCTGTCCGTCGCCCCTGTTGTGTACAAAGGCACACCTAAGTCCCTGGGCCACAATCGAATTCCCAATTTGTGTTCGGGGACTTTCTTAAAATCCGGTGCCAGTGATTGGCTCCTTTGCCGGCGTCTCGCCTCGTCCAACCAGTCCCAGCCTTTGAGGCTCGTGCGAGGATGTCCTGTCACGGCATGTTTCGGGCCCAGGGTCTCTGACACGACGCGAATCGACATCTGTCGCATCCCGTGGACCGCCCTGCCTCCGGTTGTCGACACCTCCATGATATCGTAAGCGGCTATCGAGGCTCATCCCATGTCACCACGGCGATCCTCGCAGGGTGTCACCCTCGATGAACGCCTCGATTGAAGCTCTTTTCGCTTCTGTAGACGGCAACACTGGCTGAGCCCTCATGAAGCGGAGCATTTACGCCCTAGTGATTGGGCACTGACTCGTGACCTCTAGGAAGCCACAACCGTCTCGACTGGCAGTATCTTACAATCTCACGTCACATCCTAGAGGCGATCACCCCTTGCGCTGTTGCCTTTTGACACAGGAGGACGCAAATATCAGGTCATATTTGAAGCCTGGTGCCGCCCCTTTTCCATTTCTCGGCTCATGGATCCTTCACCTCTGAACGAACATTCGTCAGCCAAGCCCTCCGCAACGACAGCCATGGTCAGCCTTCCGCCATCGACAACGCGCACACGCATGCCGAGACGAAGATCCGCATCTAGGAAGCATGGACGGCAACATCAGCACACGCGTAGAGTCGATCCGGATTCTGACACCCAAACTTTCGGCCCCACAACAGAGCCTCGTGCTGTACGAGACCATCCAGTCTCACGGTCCCCTCACCCAACTGCCCGATTACGTATGTCTTGCGAGGGAGTCGTTTCGTTCTTCTATCAGCTTCCGTGATGCTTTGCTCTGTTGCTTGTCGCCTTTTGTCCGTCCATGTCTTCTGGCAATCCGGCCAACGGCACGAACGGCAATTGATGTATACGACCGGCAGACAGAACACGCACCGCGTCTTTGCACCCTTTGTCTCGGTTGCATGTTGCATGTTTCTTCCCTTGTGACCTGGAGATGAAACGATACGGAACGGGGGCTTCCATTTTTCCTGAACAACAGCACGGATTTGTGGAACGGGCCGTGCTGTAAATGACGAGAGCGACGATATTGATGATGAACATAATCATGCAAGTAGTATAGAACACCCAGGACGCTCTCGTCAAGTTCACCCGATGTTTGTACCGCCCAATGAACTTCACTGCATGTCAGTCACGAATCAACCGGATCTTGTCACATACTCTTGGACTGGGAATGCAATGCCGTTGTCATAAGCCGAAGCAGCTATCTGGTGTGCCCAATGGACCTCTCTAACTCCAGCGTCTCTCGTTCGTAAACCTCGCTCTCTTCTCCGCAGTGCCCGATGCTCGACTTGCCTCTCTAAAGCTGGACGAGGTGCCTACGTTCACATAAGCACCGCAACTGTCCAGTCCGCAAGGCAGGGTGGCTGTCTTGCCCAGGACTCCAAAGTCGTCGATGAGAGGTAGCCTAAGTACCCGCCACATCGCCTTCTACAGCAATCCCCAATCTCACGCCAAAGAACGTCTCCAAGCCGAAGCCTAGATGGCGTACTTTCGAGTCCACTCGCGGGCAGTGGCTTCGTACCGGGCACGGTCAGTCTTGTAGACGTGGGCGATTTCAGGGACGAGAGGGTCATCGGGGTTGGGATCCGTCAGCATCGAACAGATGGACAGCAACACTGGACTTGTTAGAAATGCTGAGACATCGGAACGTAAGGCTACCCACCTTTGGAGATGGTGAGCGCAGGGCTCCACTGGTCTCGCAGGATGTCGAGACAGATGCTGCCGTTGGAGTTGATGTTAGGGTGGTAGATGCGGGTGGTGAAGTTGACCTTAGGAGGCTTGAAGGGGTAGTCGGTAGGGAAGTGAATGGCGAGGAAGAAGACACCGCCAGAGTAAGGAGAGTCACCCTAGATTGCAACAGTCAATCATCGTCCAAGAAGCGTTCGCTGTCGAAGATGAGAAGGATGGGAGATGAACATACAGGTCCCATAATCGTCGCCTGCCAGTGGAACTAGAGCGCAGTATAGTCAGTACAGTTGCCTCATACCACAGCCAAGACGTAGAATAAAAATTC